AGGTTCCTATATAGGGGACTTGTGCCACTAAATGATAATTGGATGCACCCAGTCTGGTTGAACCACACAGTTTGTTCCAGTAATGCGTCACTTACTAGTTCAGTTCTGTTTAACAGAAGGGCACTTATTGGCTATCCACTATGCGCGCTTTGTGGTGCCCAGGCACACACCCAACAGTTAGTTTTGTTTGCGGATGTGTAGCGGAATAAACACGCAGTCTGATTTATAAGTTTCGGTCAGGCAGAAATGATTTATTTTTTTCTATGATCATAGGAGAGCAATGCCCAAACAGAGGTCTAGCATCTAATGATACAAGACTCTATAGACAAAGAAAGCTTCAGGGTTTATATACATTTTTAACTCCCATGAGCATATAATGGAATTCAGCAGAAAACCAGAACCATATGTGCTTAAGTGGTTACATCTGTTAGTACATTTTCTCTTTTTGCAAGCCTTGCAATTTCTTTGTCTTCAGGAATGCTCACTTCTGACGCAGCAGACCCCACGTATAGGCCCCAGTCCTTTGACCAAACTTCTCAAACTACATAAAGCTTGATTCACATTCCCCCCTTTGAGACCTTTGGTCTCACTATACCATGCAGTCTTAGAGTGCAGTAGACAAGCTGCAGACGTCTTTCTCCTGACTCTTCATCTGAAGATCAGTCACTGAATGGACCATGCTGTCTTGTCGTCTGCTCTTGCCTCTAGGCCTGTTCTTCCATCATCATTAACTTCTGTATCTCTTTTTCTCTTTCCTTCTTACACAAGTCCATACTCAGGTACATGACCCAAACTTCTTGTCACTGTTCTGGGCTTAACTTCATGGTTCACATTTCTTTAACAAAACATTGTAAGCAGCATTTGATTAATAAGAAAAGAATATACAGCATAAGCAAAGCACAGAATACTATAAGTAACCCGTGGATTATTGTGGATCCTACTGATCCAAAAAGATTACTAGCCCAAGACCATAGTGGCCATTTTTCTTCTTCGTGGAGTCTAGCCACAGTTTTACGTATGTGATCATCTTGGTCGAGGATATCTTGCGATTTATCGGGAATATAAACACAACACTCTTTTCCTATCAAGGCACATACCCCTCCTTTGCTGGCCAGCACATAATCTAATGCCATTCTATTTTGCAGTGTTATTTGGCATATGGCTTGCAATTCAGTGTTTATGTCACTCATACCTATGGCTGTGGAGTTAGCCACTTTCTCCAGAGTAGTGGAAACAAGTCTAATCTCCTTTATGGCCAATCCAGTTCCATAAGGAAAAACAACAATGCTCCAAAATCTGTTCCATTCAGAAATTTCTCTGTAATTACGTATTTTTCCTTTGGGTAATTGTTGCCTGACCATTATAGCTGGATAAATCATGCCTATATAACAAATCCCATTCCATCCTAGGGGAAGGTATTTATAGGCTTTATAGCCACAAACAAAAGAGTGACCGGATAATGCAGTGGTTCCTAATAGATCACTGTAGCTCAAAAATAGCGAATACTCATAATACCCATAAATGCCTGCCTCAGAAGGACCATACTGATTTCTGGAAACAATGGTACCATTTGAAAACTCTGTCCCATGTATCGTGAAAGTCATATTGTTACATTCACTTACACCCACAATTTTACTTATGCCCATACTTGAACCATCACTAGCCCAACAATACTGTCCTGAAATGGGATGGGCCAACCATACATAATCAGAACCATTAAGTCATATGTCCTGCCAGGTTTCAT